ATCATTGTTTTTCTGTATGAACATATTTGGACAACTATTTCGTATACATTTATCTATGTTTTTTTTTGTTTTTGTTTTTGTTTTGTTATACGAATATTTGCATTGATGCGTCATCTATACCATTCCGACTTCGTCGAAAGTTTTGTTTCATCCCTTTATGCATTTTCATTTTTGCACTTAACTTGACATTTTATTAAAGAAATCGCTTTCATTTCATATTGAATGCCACAATATTGACAGATATACATTTCTAATAACCCACTCAAAAGTTGGCCAATATACATACATACATACGTAGTAAGTAGCACTTGAAGCCAGTTTTTATTAAATTATGTGACAATGTGCAGTCGAGCAACAATAATTTKCAAAGCAGGAATAATGCATAAAATTCATAATAAACAACAATCACTGCGTAAACAAAACATAAAAATCATATTCAAAATGGCATTGAAATAATTGAAATCGCATGTCGACATATCCCTAATATCCCAAATCGCACGTTATCCGCACCATAATGCATAACGCTTCAACTATTGATGCCGCTGTTGTTATTGTTATTGTCACTTTGTTGTACTCTTGCATTGTAGTCGCACCCAACCCCATTCAAATGCCCATAACTATTCATTATTGGGTCATTCAATGGGTGCGGCGACAAAACGTGCGTAAAAGGGTCACCGCCGAGTCAAGCGACGTGCCAGCAGCAACAACAAAATGCCCAAAAATGTGAAAATATGAAGGAAATGGCACTCAACACACTCATAACTTCAGACACTCATTTCATTTGATTTTTTTTCCTGAAAATGCTTGCATTGTTCTTGTAGTCGCCAGCATCCAGCAAGCAAAGGGGTTATCAACAACAAGAAAGGGATGCCATGCAGCGAAAGGGTTCGCGCTCTGTGTGTCGCCRCACACAACATTCAATTTCCAAAGCAATGATATTTGCAATAATTTAATATTGAAACTATCAAAGATTTATAGAGGTACRAGCGTTTCCGTTGTTGTTGTTGYCACCAGCGCCCGAGTACAGCCGCACGAGTACGAACTGGTGAAGTGTGAACGTTGCGGATGCGCTGGACCGATGCAATATCCTTTCTGCTACAAAAGCTTATTTGAAAAACACATTGATATATGTAGAAATTTGTTTGGCAAGAAAACGGTTTCGGTAACGTTTATTATTTATTTATCTATTTATTGACACTCCTGTGCTTTCTCAATAAAATGTCACTTAAATGGATTCTGTAGACCACATGCTGATTACCAATATTGTTTATTATAATTTCAATATTTTGCGAAAGCCGTGTATGAATATCAAATATGCCGAAATGCAGATTTTGTTTAAATATAATGTTTATAGAATAAGTAAAAATGGAGTTTATTTTGTATAAATATTTATGTAACACACTATAGTGTGGAAAAATATAACTATTATTAATAAATAYGATAATTAAACCCYGAACMGGGTATATTGAATTTAACGGGGGATCCAAGTAGWGGTACTTTCTTCAAACGASAGATCACGAGAGAGTTGTGTCAAGTTTTTTTGGTTTGCCTGAACGAAGTTTCCAAATCGCTCAACTTTATTAAGAAAATTAGCGTTCTGCAATTCGCTCAACTTATGGTCAACATAGCCGGCCTACTAAGGGTACTATTCGCAGCACTAGCACCTTCTTTAGGCACATTCATTAATGGATAATATTCGACTGTTCGGTCGTCCAACAGGCAGTGAAGAAAATATCATAGCCTTAGGTTAGAATGGTCTCGGAGACCGTATAGAGTCGATTCGGCACGTTACTAGCAAGTTAGTATGGAACGACTTGGCGAATTTTACGCCGAGATCTTAAATTGAAAGCGTACAAAATACAGCTTGTCCAAGAACAAGCAATATCGTTTCGCTCTATGGGCTCTTGAAAAGTTTCAAGAAGTTCCGACATTTTGAGCCAAATTTTGTTCAGCCATGCGTCCCGTTTATGGCTCAATGGGTATGCAAACAAGCAAAATTGTCGCTTTTGAGACGTAGAGCAACCTGAAGAGATTCAAGAGCTGTCATTTCATCSAGAAGAAACAAYGATTTGGTGTGGTTTSTGATGACAGACTATTTGATGCCTGAAATTGAAGCTCGTGATCTCGGCAACATTTAGTTTTTCCTGTGAGAATATGTAAAGTCTAAGGTCAATACCGCTTCGTTTCATGCCTTGGCCGAAACATTACGCGTGTCATTCGCCAGTTACAAGACGAAATGCTCGAACGAGTCATCGAAAATTGGACTCAACGGAAGGATCATCTAACACATAGCCGGGGCTAACATTTGAAAGAGATAATCATCAAAAAATAAATGCCAAACAATTTTCTTTCGAATGATAAGCATTCCCCAATATATTTGAAGATTAAGTGTTTTTTCTTTAAAAAAAGTAGGGAACCTTAAAATGGATCACCCTTTAGCTGTCATACAAACTGAACGATTAAAATTAATTCCTTGCATTAAAAATTGTTTTATTTAACAAGATATATTCCCAAAATTTTCAAGGGTTATCACCATATTGCTCGTGGGAAATAAAATATCGCTGTAGCATATTTTCTCGAGTATCTAAATGTGAAAAAACATTTATCAAAAAATTTCTAAATAAAGAAATGAGGATTGCACCGCAACATAAGAGCTATTTTGCCCTCTTGGCTACCTAATCGACAAAACCAACTCCGAGCTTTTACTCAGTTTGCTGTAACGGCATGTCGACTTTGTCACCCCTCTCCCTTTGGACCGACCCCGCCGAAACAAAAACTCGTTATTTTCCACTTCTTCTCGCTTTCGATTTGAATTTTGATGAATTTCTGTGACTCTCTGGCAATTTCGACACAATTTTACTTCAAGATGATTATGTTCTGCTTTCAACTAAAATTGTTGGACAATTTTTTAAGATAAGAAAAATTTACTCACCGCTTCTTTAGCTTCAGGAATTTCAATACATTTTCGCTTCAAGCTATTTATTTACTCTGTAACATATTGAGATGTAAAAACTGTCAAGATTACCGTTGCCAAAAATGCACAAAAATTCAAAAAAAAAAAAAAGAAATTGACCCAATTGCTAAAACTGCCAATGCTAATGAAATTAAGCAAAATGACAGCGAAAAGATTTATGGCGTTTCAAACAATTAAAAGTCAGCTCAGGGAATTCTGAATTTTAGCGTCAACAATAAACGCATTCACGAAGGCAGAGAAAGGCGCAACAAATACAAAAGAATGCGACTGACAGGTCACCCCACACAAACCACATATCTTCAGGCATTGAATATACATATGTAGGAAGAACAACAATGTGCTAGCATTTCCTATTGACAGGCGGAAACGGAAGACGGCGAAAAGTCACCACGCCGTATACCTCTCTTCGCGGCATAAAACTTTATTATTATGGATGAAGTGAAGTTTTCAGTTAGAGAAAAGGATGAAGTATTTTCCCCTTTACATTGCAGTTCATTTTCACTATGAGTACACTTTTGACAAACACATGCCACATACATATGTATGTTCACATGTGCGTTTATAACAATGCATAAATTTCATTGCAAACAAATTGCGTCACTTTCGATACACCAGAGACCTGGCTGATGAGCCCATTGATAGGCCAAAGGTTTGAGCACCCCACTCGATGTTGATGTCGCGAAGGTGAGCGTATGCGCATGCCTATATACATACTTATATGAAGTGTAGCGTTAATAAACATAAGTTTTTATGAGCTGTATAGGGTTAACGCGAAATTTGCATATAGCGACCGCGTGCAGCAACTTGAAAAGGGATAACACAAAAAACCTGCCAATTTTAAAGGAATATGCTCAAATTGATAAAAATAAAATCTTTGTGAAAGTCAGAGGAGGGGAAGTGTGTGTGTGTGGCTTGTTACTTTTCAGGCATAGAAATTTATTGGAGATTCTATTAAATTTGATTCGAGTAGGAAACGCGGCATTGAAGGCGCGTGTGCTTAGTCTACGTGTCGTGGAAGAACATATAGTCGACGGCTTACAACCAATTTAGTCAACGTGGCAGTGATAAGAAGACAATAATGATAAGCTTGATGTAATTTTGTAAGAAAAAACTGCAATGTGAGGCATTTCACTGGTTTTTATAGTAACTACAATGTGCTTTATCGCGTTCACATCGTGCCTTATTTAAATATAATATTTATGAAACACTAAAATATTATGATCCTGTTAGCGATTTCTTTGTGTGGCTTACCTTGAAACTGATTAGTCGTTAAAAGGCCCGATTGCTTTTGGTTCCCGATATAATGTTTCGTTCATGTGATCGGYGCTTCAAGGCATCCCACACGTAAGAATATTAAACGCCGTCGAAACACTGCCTCGAAGTGATCAAATAGACTGTAAACCTTGTAAAGACAGTCTACGTAGTTGGTACGGACTCTGATGTACAATGATGTTTACGCAGCAGCAATTCTTCAAATTATGTGGGGAACTGTGTGCTTTCTGTCTGTATTTCAATAAACACTCTATTTCGTTTACAAATAATCATAAGAAATCAGTTACAATGAAATAATAGTAATTAACATAATTATTTACCTTGGCAGCTTCTCTGACAGTCCGAAACTCAATATTTTAAATTAAAACCCTTACTGCGGCTTGGCTTACCCACCTTTAATAGAAATCGATTTCCGTTAAACGGCGATTATAGTCTATATTGTTYGCAGTCACTTAATGCACTTAATTTATCAATTTAATTAAAATAAACTTCCACTAGCAATTCGATGTTCATAAAAATGTTTCAGCTCCTAGTCAATTTTTGCACCAGATGTTATTTTTTTATACTGCAATTTATTGTAGGTAACGCAGTTTGTTCATTAGTTACCACCAAAACCATACAAKTATTCGTGTACGGCGACATCTACGTTTCAAGCTTTACAGTTTTCATGTCTACAGAAACGAAGAACTAATAATTAATATGGAAAAAATTAATCTTACAAATAAGACCTGGTAAGCCTAARCAAACAGCTGATTTATTAAATTCGRTCCRATCCACACAGTTCGCGTAACACAGCCATTTATTRRTAAGGTTCTTTAGCAAAATCAAAAAATGTTGCAATTTGCTAGAGTTGCAGTACGAAGTGGTAAATAACAACTAAACACTTCTGTTAACGAATATTTAAAGTTTTCATTGATATTACTTRCAGTTGCTAGCAGCCACCGGACGGTCGTAACCCCACTTTTGAATAGTGCAATAAGTCGGCGTAATTTTAGTGCACCTGTGGAAAATAAGGATCAGCCCATCGATATACCCAACCCTTTCGAAAAAGAGCGACGTGTGTGCATTCTTTGCAAACACAACATAGTACCAGACTATAAAAATGTGAAATTGCTGTCCCAGTTCCAGTCACCTTACACAGGTCGTATTTATGGCCGACATATAACAGGATTGTGTAAACAAAAACAAGAGCAAGTAGAGAAAGCAATTATTCGTGCACAAAATTGCGCAATGATGCCGACATATCACAAGGAAATGGACTTCATGCAAGATCCGCGTCTGTTTGATCCTGAAAAACCAATACGCCCACATAAATACTAAATGGCACAAGGCAATTCTTAGGTATTTAATGTTAGACGTTATATTTTTCGTCAACCAAATTAGGAAATAAATATCGTGTTAATTCTAAAAAAGTGCTTAACTTTGAATGTATTTATGTAATATCGTTTTATTTAACGAAAGCAAATGTATCTTGTATTTTTTCCAGAGCTTTAGCAAAGTCTGCTTTCCACTCTTCTACAGCCCGACTAAGTTCCGCAATGCGTTCYGTGTGTTGCTTACGATGCTCGAGTTCCTCTTGTACGATTTTTATTTGCTCCAGTAATGATTCCTTTGACACTTGCAAATCTCCATCTGGTTGGGACTGCTCTATGCTTTCCTCATCTTTATTACAATAATCTGCCGGTATATTCAGTTTTACAACCAATTTTGAGCCAGATGTCTGAATGTTTTTAGACCTGTCTTCAATGGATGTATTAAGTTTTTCATCTTCCATWTTTAGGAAAAGAGTTCGTAAGCCGTCTACCGATTTTTTAAATTGAAATTAAAAAAAAAAACTAAAATTTGTCCGTTTAAATTTAGCAAATATAATTGTTTGGAAAATAGTTGAGGATTGATTGAAATTAGTTACTTTAATTTCTTTAGCGCTGCGTTTAATGTCCTTTTATTGAATCAAAAGAAAGGAACATGAAGTATTTAAACAAATTTTTACGATTTTTTTGCTGCTGATGTAGAATACTCTTTTTATGAAGCCGATTTAAATTTTAAAATATTTTTTTTTATTTACTTTTCTTTTGTAGACATGTGTGAGAAAAAGTCAAGAAGCAACGAAAAATGGGAAAACTCATATAATTATAAATTAAAATTTTATATGCGTACTATTATATGTAAACGTAATATAATATTCAGAAAAATTTAGATTTTTACTCTGATTGTCAAATATATTAAATTTATTTCAAACAGTTTTAAATTAGTATATTTTGATACATTTACATATATATTTTTTCCATAAACTAAGAAAATCGAGCCAATGCGTGATAAAATTGCTTAGCAAATATTTATATCTAGTGTAAAACTCGTATAACAGGTAAAATATAGTCATTCAGCACAACTGCTGAACTTCGGAGATAAACTACTCATCTGTCAAAAATAGCACCTGACAAGCGAAGAYAACAGAATAACTAACAGATTTTAAYATAAATTAAACCAACGGTGCGGTGTGTGGAACAGTAAATTGTTAGCATTATTTCCTTGTTACTAAATATTTCTGTTTATTTCCGTTTATTTATTAATTTTGCTGATATTATAGTGTATTTGTGCGCAACCCTTAATAAAACAAGCAAAAAATCAAGGGTGAGGTCGAGCAAGCATAATTCGTGACGCGAATACTAAAGTGACGGCAATAATCGACGCCATTTTTTAACATATGTATGTAAGACTAATTACCTAAAAAATAGTTTCGTAAAAAAAAAGTGCTGGTTTGAACAGAAGCAGAGCTAAATGAGCTTAATTAATTTCCTGAATTCCAAGTTAAAGCCTTCCGTAGAATGCGAAGCTCTATGTGAAGATGGTTATTCTGCAAACAATTTGATTGCAGACGATGCAGARCAACTTTCACGAGGCTTCCTGGCTTATGCCGTTTCTAAACCCCCTGTGGAGATTGTATTTGACTTCCCTAAAGCTGTTGAAGTGAAGGTAATCAAGTTATGGAATAGCAATGGTGCTCTACGTTCGACAGCATTTGAGCTTCATGGCAAGTTTGAGGGTATTTGGGAACGCGTTGCTTATGCTCGTGACCTTGCTGAGGGCGTCGACTCTGTAACGTTTTGCTATCAAAGTGATTATAATTCTCGTAGTAATGCGGAAAGTGCAGCTACTCAAGCACAAAGCAAAAAAGCATTTTTCTTTAAGACAGCGCATCGTTTACTCTCCAACGCTAGTAGTTTGAAAATAATAATTTGTGCTTCAAAACGATGTCCACCAGTGCTGCGAAAAATCGAAGTATGGGGTTTGCCTTCTCGATCATTGGAGAAAGCCGATCGTGAACTTGTTAAAACAATCTGGAGTGAGATAGTCAATCCACATGGTTTTCAAACGACAGAAGACAGGCATCGTCGCTCACCCACTCGTAGCATACCAGAATTAAATGAGTACTCAACTTTGAAAATTCCAGAAGAGTTTCTTGATGAGATCACTTGGGAGCTAATGGTTTGTATATTAAACTTTCTCCATGATTTATTAATACCATATTTTTGTTTTCTTTTTCAGATTTTCCCTACTGTACTTCCCTCAGGTAAAATTGTGGACCAATCCACAATAGATAAGCATTCTGAAGTGGAAGCTAAATGGGGCCGTCTGCCATCGGATCCTTTTACTGGCCTTGAATTTACCTCACAACGCAAAGCAATTCTCAACCTCGCCCTTAAGGCACGCATAGAAAAGTTCCTTATGGAAAATTCCGAGCACTTCAAAACAGTACCACGTTCTTTAGGGAGTTCTTTTGTTCGGCGCAGCAAAAATCGACATGCTTCACAGTTTGCAAGCTTCTGTCAACGCAACAGTTCCAGTATCGGTACTTACTCATCATTATCGGCGGCATTTTACAAAACTTCTTCTCAAGCGTCCGCCACAGCTACATCATCATCAATACCGCCGCCAAAACGCCCCAGACTTAGTGATAACTCCACATATCGACTGGAAACATCTCTTACCTCTACAACAACACACACCACTTCCAGTACTCCGTYATCACTTTCCTCCAAGTCAACGCCATTTTCTGTGGCCGCTTCATCAGCCTTATCGACAGCATCTTCCACCCCAATTCGGACAGGCATTGATCACGCCATTCAACAAGCATTAAAAAATGTCACACGATATACATGCCCGCCCGCAGAAACGAAACCAGCCACATGTATAAGCTGTAAATCGGAACATTTCTCATATGAAATTGTTACATGTGGGCATCTGGTATGCCGTGCTTGCTTAGTACAGTTAACTAAGGACGAAATGTGCACATGTAAGGCGGGCTTTCGTACAGTCGATGTTGAGCGCTACCATAAATTGTAAGCGTTCACGCATTTGGCGATGTTAACGTACGAACTGATTAATGAACCTAAAAGAAGTCATTAAAGTGCTAGTTTTGTTTTATAATTTGTCTCAGTTTTGTTCGGTCACTGTTATGAATCGTTGGCAAAGTTAACTGTGCGGTTTGGCTAAACAAAAAATTGTTMAATTTTTGTTAACGTCGTCCAAGTGAAGGAAATTAAATATTGTTGCAAAGTATTTCAAAATGCTCGCTTAGAGTATTATTAAAAGGCTTTAATGAAACAAATCTTGTGATTCATATGATTCATACGCTTATGTTCATAAATACATTGATATTTTTTTATTATTAATTTGTAGTTTTTATTTTCCAACGATTTGTAACAGAGCTACTGAATAGTTATTTAGTCTCAGGCTAGTTTTTAATAATACTTAATCACATAAAAATAAACATGGAATTAATAAAAAAAACTGGTATTTCACTACATAAATAAACGAGTTATAGCGATACATGTAGCGTTGGTTAATTATAGTAACTTGAAATTGGTATTAGCCAACCATTCKAATTAGAATGTAACTGTGCTTAATTTGTGTTTTTAAAATTAATAGAATTACCGAAAATTCGGTTTTGAATCCAATCTATATCCACAGCTAATATATATTTGGGCATACTATATTATTATAAATACATATATGATAAAATAAAAGCATATATGAACTATAACATTTGCAAAGATTAAAATTTAAGTTCCGTATTAAGTGGTAAATATGTGCGCATACTAATCTGGGAATTATTCTCTGTAAAAAACATCCAAAAAAATATATTTACATTGAATAAAATACTTGAAATTAATAAAACACGTTTTTTTTATGAGGGACTTGAGGAGAATTTATACTATTTACATAATTTCAGCTACAATACTACATTTTATGCAATTATTTAGATTTTTAGTAGTTTATTGGTAAACATATTCTTTAACAGGTACAAGAATGCCTCAGTTTAGTTTCCACTTAGTGAATTTTCCTTTTCGTACTTCAGCAAATGAATTTTGCGCGTTCTCCCACCTCCATATTTTATATCACCGTTCTTTGACACCACACGATGACAAGGAATTACGATAGATATTTCATTACTACCAACAGCTGTACCTACTGCGCGTACTGCATTCGGTTTTCCAATTCTATTTGCGATGTCTCCATAAGTACATGTCTGACCAGAAGGTATTTTTAACAATTCATTCCACACTGCCTCTTGAAATGGGGTACCAGATACCACAACATTTAGTATCATTTCTTCGTTACTAAATATTCTATCAGYCAGAATTCGCGCTTGCCTCAAGTCTTCTAAAAGCAAAGCATTTGGCCAACGTTTCTGCAGCAGCGACTCATAATTATTTGTTCTATTCTCCTTGTCTTCACTTTTAGCAAAGTGTAAATAGCAAATTGCGTCATTCGAATCTTTAAGGAAACCCAATACAATGTCGCCAAATTGGCTATCAACAAGGCCGTATGAAATCCTAACAGGTTTTTTATTACAAAAGGTTTTAAGAACAACTTGTTTAGTTCCTAGCATTCTGATGAAATCATTAATGAAGTAATTGAATAAGTTGTTTTGTTATGATATTTGTTTTATTTTGCTACTGCCGGCTTTGTGGAGTTGCCGGACACTTCTTTTTACTGGGACAACGTAAAAGCAATATTATATTACTGATGATATATTAATGATTTGATTGATTCATCAGTTTGAAATATATTCGCTATAGGTCATTTGAACTCTTTTTAAATACAGTTATCAGTTATTACAAAGGTTATGATTGAGTACAATAATTTCCAACTGCTCAACATCTATTATTTAAAAGTCAAAATAGGTAAACAAATTTTATTCAAACACCCTGTTGTGCTCTAAATAAAATATAACTATGGTAGCACAAGTAATGGTAATAAAAACGCTTCTTCTTGTGGCAACTTTAGTAAACAACGGGTATTGTTTCATTTCCTATGGCGGACGATTCATTCCACCTAGTTTATTTCAAACACAAATTGGGAAAGATATCATAAATTACCAACATGTTTATGTTTTTTTGCAATAAATGTTTTTGGCCAAAGAATGTGGAAAATACAAGAAAATACTATTTTTCCAATTGTGGTCACGTCTTTTGTCAGTCTTGCACACCAACGGGGCTATGCCACATATGTAAGACACCCTACGCAGCCAGGACAATCGACGCCAATATGACCAAATCTATGGCCGTATATTTTGAGTCGCCGGTAAATGCATTTCGTCGATTTCAAAAAATCGTTCAATTTCAAACCATGCAGGATGCGCTAAACGCACATTACTACGTCAATTGCTTGCCGCAACAGATCCAAGCTGCACTAAARAAGCTTAATGGTATGAAGCGAATCGATGCACATTTGGATGAGAAGTTAGCACACGAAACCACACGTATTGAGAAACTGAAAGCTTATTTAGCTTATAAAAAACGAAGTTTACAGGAGCGGCACCAAAAGCATCAACGTCCGGCACGCGGCCGTTCCGCAACGTCGACCGCATACAGCAGTGGTCGAAGTTCACGCCCCAAGACACCGACCATAAGCACATTGTCGGACTTAACAATGCCCAGCGCCGATTGCACAAAAAGTACAAATTTAAGCAATCAAAGTGACTCATTCTTAGATCATGTGCGGAATGATTTTACCATATAAGATTTGAAAACAAATTGCTTGAATGTTAATAAATAAAATTAAAAAAAAAAGTAAAATAATTTCATCTTACTTCTGAATATGTGAATTTGAGTGAAAGCTGAATTTAATTAAATTATAAGTGGTTGTTTGTATATTGGTTGATGTATATTATAATTTGAGTAAAAATATAACTTAATTTAAGTGGATGTACGTGTGAAATTATCTAATTATTCAATTATTTTGCTTACATTTAAATTGAAAAACAAACTTAATTGAACTAATTTTGTTAATTATGATTCTAAGTTCTTCTTTGAATAATTTAGTATGATTGTGTGTGGTTTTTTTTTATTATATTTAGCTAATCGCCATAGTGTAGGTGTCAACAAACTACGGAATGAACAATCAATCACTTCTGCTTTATATTATTCGATAATGCAAGCATTTTGCAAACTAATGTGTAAACATAAAGTAACACGTGAACAGATCCCCAATATGTGAGTTGGTATGTGCTCAACGCCTCGGATACAGCGACTACTAATAAAAGTTAATCAATGTGTCGGGTGTATAATCTCGTGTATGAGAGAGTTAAACAATAAAAACGTGTTGAAATTGTTTTTTTTTTTATTTCTTTTATTATAATTTTTTTTTTTATAATATCTATAGATCCTTAATAGGCGAAAAACGTTTTAGCTAACTGTACTAGATTATCAGAGCGATAACAAATTCGATTATCAAGGGCTATCGCCTATAAATTGTTTTGCTACTTTTAGAAAATTTTGMATAAATTCAATAATTTCAGCGATTTTTTATTAGTTTGTGGTTGAATTTGTAACTGAGTGGTATTGAGTGAGGAAGTGAAAATGTGGCGATTTTTACCAGTAGCCTTCCTGGCTGTTACTGCAGCCGTTCTGATACCCGGAGTGCCACAGGATTTTGCCGCTAACGATATTGTGCTCTCTGCGATTTCGGGTAAGTGATTGTACGGCAATAAACTGATTTATTATGAAATATCGTCACCTAAAATGCAAAATAACWCAACAGCACTTTTTAAAAGTTTACAAGTTAATATATAATATAAACCACTCATATTGAAACAAAATGTGTGTTTTGGTTATAAAATGGTTATATATTGGATATATTGGACAGCGGAAGCTCCAACCGTTATAATACTTATGTTAAGGTAATAAAAAAGCCAATTTCAAATTTTTTTATGCTACGCTATTTTTTTAACTGTTTAGGAATGTTCAAATTTTAATAATTAAATTGAAAAATTATCACTTTTATTTATTTTTCGATTATGAACTTTTAATAACTAAATTTTAATATGAGCAATTCTTTAATTTTTATTATTATTAAGATGAAATATGTTAATAATTAAATTTAAATATGCACACTTTCATKTAAATATATATTTTTTATTAAATAGGTTGGCTAAAATCGATCGAAATCGTGACTTGCAACACGTGACGAATAACCAAAGTACTTACCGTCTTTAGTAACCATTCAAAAATATTTATATCCGTATATGTGTGTGTTTAATATTGTGCACGTTTAACCGATAATAACTTGACCAAAGCACCCGSMTGTTTTCAGCAATCACAAAACTTCATACAGAAGCAAAGCAATTATAATAATAAACCAATTAAAATAGTGCTTAACTACACACACACACACACGTATAAAAACATGTTTTCGATAAGCGGTAAATTCAATTACTATTTTACTTTTAGATGAGATTGCCCAAAAATTATCGGAAGAATACGTAAACTACTACAGCACAGGTGTTGAATCCGCAGCGCTACGCCAAATCAGCGCACAACTGGCACAGGCGCACACCAAGAAGGACCTTTTCACGAAAGAGTTGGATCAATTGTCTTTAGCTGATCAATTCGTTGCCTGCACCACTTGCCGCGCAACAGTTAATGTTATCGCGCGCACATTTCGAGAGCAAAATGGTCCGGAGGCCGATCAGAAATTGAAAGCCATTGCTGTGGATGCCTGTCTTAGGCTGGAATTGCAAACGGCAGAAGTGTGTGAAAAACTGATTGATTTTAATCTCGACAGTGTTATGTACATAGTCAGGAATACGAATATCGATTCGCGTACATTCTGTTCGTTATTCATGCAATTCAATTTCTGTAATGTGCAAAATGCCGATTAYAATTGGACGCTCACCATTGATGGCAGTGGCGCGGCTGTTACGACACCAAAATCGGATATACCCGCCAAGAGCGGAGATGAATTGAAAGTTTTGCAAATAACTGATATTCACTATGATCCGTTGTATGTACCTGGCGCTTTGGCGACGTGTGKCGAACCACTGTGCTGTCAGCGTCATGCCGATACCACAACGGGTGAAGAGGCGGCGGGCTACTGGGGCGATTATCGTGATTGCGATGCACCGTGGCATATGATTGACGACGCTTTGAATCACATCAAGAGTACACACACTCAAATCGATTACATTTATCAAACCGGCGATGTTGTGGATCATATGGTTTGGGGTACTTCCGTTGCGAAAAATAATGAAAGTTTGTGGAAATTCAACAATCGCCTAGCTGAGATCTTTCCCGGTGTACCAGTGTATCCCTGTATTGGTAATCATGAACCACATCCAATGAATCTGTAAGTTGAAATGTGTATAAGTATATCTATTGAATAGTAAACCAATTGTAACGTTCAAATTAGTTTCAGTCCAAATGATGTGCCAGAGAATATCAATACACTTTGGCTCTATGAACAATTATATGAACAATGGTCGGCCTGGTTGCCAGCTGATACCAAGGAAACCATTCTGAAAGGTGGCTACTACACAGTGTCACCAAAAGCCGGCTTCCGTGTGATCGCATTGAATAACAACGATTGTTACACCTCAAACTATTGGCTGTACTACGACGCCACGGATAAGATTCCACAACTGCAGTGGCTTCACGATACCTTGTTAGYCGCTGAAAAGGCAGGCGAATATGTGCATATACTGGCGCACATTCCCTCCGGTGATGGTAGTTGTTGGTCTGTGTGGGCGCGTGAATTTAGCCGATTGGTTGAACGTTTCAGGTACACAATTAGTGGCATCTTCAATGGTCATTCGCACAACGATGAAATGCTTATGTATTACTCGGGGAACGGTCACCCGGTTTCCATTGCTTGGAATGGTGGCKCACTAACAACATATTCGAACAAAAATCCAAATTATCGGCTGTATCATGTGGAAGAGCAGAGCATGGTAAGTAGCTATACAATAAAGTTAAGACGCAATAGTAATAATAATATAAAAATATGCAACTCCATTTGAAATTTAGCAAGTTGTGGATCACGAAACATGGATCTTCAATTTAACAGAAGCCAACGCTATTGGCGGTAGTCAAACTCCAAAATGGTTCAAAGAATACGACTTCTCGGCTGAGTTTACCGCAGATCTAAGCCCAGCTGGCATCAATACTTTGCTTGATGAAATGGCTGAGAACCCAAACGTTCTTAGAAAGGTATAAAACGAATAATTCAATGTAATTTTCATTTCCAATATTAAACATTCTCCTTTCCGTTGCTTCCATCCTAGTTTTGGACTTATAAAATGACAACTGCCGATCCGAAAATCAAAAAGGGTTGTGATAGATCTTGTCTGCTTAGCACGATCTGTCGCATAGCGGTACATGTGAATACTGAGAGAGCGCGTTGTGAAGAGCTGCAGGCCAAACTGACTACTGCTGTAAGTTATTCCGTTAGCCAAATATAATTTCGGTACTAAATATATTACAATACCATTTTCAGTTGGACAATGAAACCACTACTCCAAGTACCACCTCTACAACGGCTACCTCAACGTCGTCAACCGATGCAACGACAACTGAGGAAGCCACTACCAAAAGTTCTGGTGATAGCGGTGCGGCTTCCTTAGACAACTCAATAATTAACCTTGCACTGGCAGCAATAATGGCAATCATGCAGCATGTTTGAAAACCTAAAAATTGTTCACTGCATGGATGTCTGCTAATTCATACTCGTATTACTCCTAACTTATTAATATTTTGGTACTTACTATTAAATTCGGGCGGACCGAATGTTGGAAATCAATAATAAMAAAAGTATTGAGTAGTTAAGCATTAGTATTCAATATTCGTAAGGTCCATATTCGASAGAATTTAGTACTTGATAATTAATGGACTCACTAGTGCTGCTGTGGAAACTTTACCCGAAATTTTGTTAACTCATAAACTGTATTAATTGAAAGCTCTACTTTTGATTCTTATTTTGCTGAGCTCCAGCAAGGTTTTCGCTCTTTTAGAATTACACTGGTTGCGTTAAAAATCAATGAACTCTGATTTCTGAGTTCTTCTTGAGATTGAGATTTATACTCATTTAGTATTTTTTCTACAAATCTTGTGGGTGAGACTGAATAGATGCTTCAACATCAGACTTGCAAAGGCTGGAAAATTTTGACAAGATTTTTTGCCTTTCTGCAGTAGTTTAACAGATTTYCTGTGYTYTACTCTAGGCTAAAAAGATCTTGCTTCCTAAGTGTTTAAACGCAAAATTATTGGAACTAGTCTTTCAGCGTCATCTATCTTATTCTTCAAATCAGCTTTCCATCGATTTTCTGTCCTCACACCTCAAGAAAATATTGGGAAGAAATTTAGAAAATTTAAAGAAATAATCGYCCAATTAGGGACGGTCATCAAAATACGCATAAATTGACCCAAAAAAMTGTGAAAGAACGATTGGTTCCAAAATCACTMAATTTTTTCGAAAAAACAGCGTCTCGTTAACATGTGTGAAACAATGMTTTTCGACTACCTGTCATGAAACGTTTTATTACTGGCGATGGGTTTTGGATCTAAGCTTACGATCTGTATATAGGCGATMAATCGGCCGAATACCGTGGCAAAGGTGAGCAAAAGCCGAAAAAACCACGTCAAAGGAGATCAAAAATTAAGGTTATGTTGAGAGTTTTCTTCACTTATAGAGATGTTTTACACTTCGAATTCCTTTCGACCGGCTAAGCAACAAGAAGGAATACTATT